CGGCTGTCAACCGCGAAAAAAAAAACGGAATCCCGCGAATCCCTCCCATGCCCGCCGCGATGCGAGCTGTCGGCATCGCGGGGTCATGGGGGACGATCCGTTGATTCGATGACATGGATAAAAATTAAATAAGAAGAGAGGGCTTTTCCTTTGTCTTCGGTCGGGCAGATAAGCTCGTCGAGGCTTTCGCTTGCGTTAAGGCGTAGGCCAATTCGTCGTGGAGATCGAGCACGTCGTAAATCGAAGACTTTCTTTGCGATAAGAAGAAAGAAGCTGCATAATGACGTGATCGGTCAATTTGAGCTAAGCGGAGGCCTGGGCCTAACTAGGCGGAATGGGGATTTTGAACTCACCTGAGATTCTGAGGGGGGCGTCGACACTGGAGCTGCCACGTGGAAGGGCGACGAGAGACTGATGGCACTCTGATCGGGGGGGACTCGCGTCGGGTCCTCGTCCGTCCACATGGCACGGGCCATGAGGTCTATTCTCTCCTCTCCACTTGTTGCAAGAGAATGTGAATGGAGGGGGGCTTGCGCGCTCCCCCCCTCCGAAGGGGCGAAGGAGGAGCCTTTCGTCTCTCGGCAGTCACGTAAGGAGAGTGAGAATGCGAAACGCGGGCTGTCGCTGGCTCTCGGCCTCAGTGCTGCTCGGTCGGTGGCAACGGCGCCTTCACGATGAAAAATTTGGCAACTGTCGCGACTCGATGAGGCTCCTCTTGCGGAAATGGAAATGTTGCGGATGAAATTCGGTTCTCTCGACGCTGTCCGTCTGATTTCGCTCCGTCTGCGCATAAAGGGAAAGTTTGGCGACAGATGCGAAGGGGGAAAAAAAAGAGGAGGGAGAGCCCACAAGTGTACAGCAAAGAGAGAGGAGACTGCTCTCTGTGGGCCCTCTTGATCTTGTTAATGTCAAGGGGGAGTCATTTTGATTGTCAGAAACGTGTGTGCATGAGCCTCTACTCCCGACAGTTATGCTCTCTCGTAAATTCTCTTCGCCTATTAAGGGGCCACTGCCAGAAAACCCAGGGCTCATGCCCGGCATTGTCATCGTCATATTCGAGTCTGTTTACAGTTCCACTCACTCGCACAACGGGTGTCTTTCAGTCTCCTCCTGGAGCCAGCCCAAAAATTCCGCAAGGATTTTCCGCGGCTCGAGGGAGAAGCGCGGCCGCTAATGAGGATGGCGTTGAAGCAAACCGAATCCCTCGTCCGGCATTTCCTGTCACCCGGGCGATAAGGGTTTATCTCGAGCTGGATGAAGGCGGATAAAAAAGCCTCTCGAATAGCCTGGCAATATCCGGTCTTTCTGCTTTTTTCTGCCGGTGGTGGAAAGGAGGAGGAGAAGAAAAATCAGTGCCGATAAAGGAGACAGGGGAGCCCTTTATTTGAATAAGAGGGGGGGGAAAGGGGGGGGGAGTGTTGTTCCGGCATGGGATCCGACGAGTTTGCATTGCTAAGTGGGGACCGAAAAAAAAGCACGAGATGGGGGGATAAAGAGGGAGAAGTTTTCTGCGGAATTTTTCCTCTTCGATTCATGCATGCATTCACCTGTGGAAAATCCGGCACATTTTTGGCAATCTTTTAACTCTCCCTTTCTCCCGTTCGTTCCCAGAGGATAGATTTTTGCGAGGGATTTTTCGTGTGTCACCCCTTCCTCGTGGGAACGCCCCGACTCCCACCGTCGGACTCCACGCAGCCCGACCCAACAAAAAAGCGAAAACGGAGAGCGAGAGCCAAAGAGAGAGAGAGAGAGAGAGAGAGAGAGATACCGCCGATGACGACGGCGGTGCGTTGACCCAAGGCGAGAGGCTGGGGAATGTCTGAGCCAGACCGAGGAGCGAGCGAGCGAGCGAGAGCGAGCGAGAAGGCCCCGATAACGAATACCGTCTAGACAGAGGAAGGTCGGCAGAGGAAAAACCGAGACATGAGAGTGCGTGTGTGCAGCGCAAGAGGACATCCATTCCAAGGACACGGATATCTCCACCCAGCCAGCCACCCTCTTTTCCCGCTCTTCCCCCCCCCCCCTCTTCCCCTCTTCCCCTCTTCCCCCACCCCCCCTCCCCCCCCTCCCCCACCGCAGTCCATAGTCTCACCGCGACCGATCGATTTTCCCCTCCGTCTCCCGTTTCCCGCCGTACAGACGGGCCGGGACAGCCCCGACATCTAGCGGCACCCGCCGAACCTCCGCCTGCCCCGAGCCAAAGCCAGGTGTCGGGGAACTCCAGTCCCAGTCTCGACCCGCCTCGAACGCTCACTCCTTTCATTTGTGTGATCTCGTTCTTTTCGACTTGGTTCTGGTTGCAAGATTTATTCGACGGGATGCCAGGATGCTGTGATGGGATGCTCCCGCTTGGTCGAAATTTCGAAATGGAGGTCTGTTGGGATTCCCGGATTTTTATTTTTTTTTTTCATTTCCAGATTAACGTTAGATCTGGTGCTCGGATTTCCCGCGAATTCCTTCTGCTGCGAATGAATGTGGGCGGGGGGAAAAATCTCGCATTAAATACGAGGGGTGATTGAACTTTAGGCGGAAGAAGGAGAATCTGCGGCGAACATTCACAAACGTTGATGCCTGCCCGAGAGCGAAAACCCGAGCAGGGACGCGAACAGACGCTTCAAGAGACCTTCCACAACGTGGGGGGGGGGGGAGAGCCTGTTCAAGACTCGGTCGAGGCCGAAGAAAGCAAAATAATAGCTGAAATCGCGACTCGACCGGAACTCGACCGGAACTCGTTCGCATACCTCTCGAAGGCAGTGATGAGTAACTCCCGCGGGGCTTTGCCGACTGATTCTTTTTTTTTTTTCCTGTCGTTTGCCATTTGCAATATTCCTTCGCTCTCTTCGTGGTCTATCATCAAGTATCGATGCTCTCTGCTAATTGTTAATTTGCTCATTTGCTTAAGCTATTTGCATATCGTTAGCATATAATATTTTAGTACCTGGTTTACTAAGCCAGGCTTGGGATGATTTTGGTACTCAGGCCTAAAACCAGTAATTCAGTATTTAAAAAAAATAAAGGCGAACCGCGGGCGTCCATCGCTTTTGGACATGGATAAAAAAAAATCCCATTCCGAAATTTCTCGTCTAATTAAGATTAAGATTAATCGGCATCGGTATCCCCAAATACCCATAAAGCAATAAATCCACCAGGACCCTTGGAAAAAAAAAGTCTCGTCCAAGGAAAATCCTTGGACGCGTCTATTGGCGATTCCATTTGGGAAAGCAACGGAGCACGACACTCACGAACGTGTGCGAAAGAAGCATTTCCTGCATGTTCAGAATCTCGCCCTCACGTTCACTCGGAGGAACTAGAAGCGGACCGATCGGCATTGAAAACGAAGCGGACTCGTCGGAACAGACTCACTTGATAAGGGGAACCACACTCTCACCATCCAATATGCAAGAACTGCCGAGAGTCTCCTCGAACTGCGTTACGTCTCGCGACCGACGAATCGATGAGAATGACTTCATTCCTTAGGTTTGTACGTGGGGAACCGTCGAGTAGAGGACGAAGGCTTCTGCTGAACGATTCGTTTGCATTTTGGGAACCGGGAGACACGCAGCGGCGGGGCGAGCGCGACCTCGCTTGCGTTGTGGGAACTTTGTATTTCTTGAACGAACTGCTAGATGTCAGGTCGGACGGAAGGCGGGGGACATCCGATGCATGCCCTGATGCATCGTTTCGTTCGTATTGTCTAAATCTAAATGAAATCGTGCACTGGTCCAATTATAATGGCACGCTTTCCATATATTAATTGGAGCTACTGGGTACCTAAGATGGGAGATTAGAAGAAAAAATAAGTATAAATAAATAAATTCCATGATCGGATGCTGGTAACGTCATTACATAAAACCGTAATTCAATAAAATGGAGATAATAGTGTTCGATGCAGGGAAATTCTGCTCGAATAAAGCTGAGAATGCATGCGAAGATATCGATCCACGGCGATGGCATCCTACGTGCATCCAACGGACGAGTTTTTGGATCACCCGTGGCGACTTGGGTAATTATTAGTAATTGGAGGTATCTCTAGCTGTGTCTTGCTCCGATTACCATTACCATTTTCGCATGGAAGGAACGGTCTCGGCGTTCGTCCCGTGCGCGAGACGCGACGATGCGCGGCTCGTCGCTCGTGCGTGACGCGCCGAGAATCCGGACAATGGCTTACGGGCCGGAGATTCTGGGGCGGGAACGGGAATGAGGTCGAGAACGGCACCGATCCCGTTGCGACCCGGTTCGCTCCACTTGATTTTATTCTTTTTATCTTTTTTTTCCCATTTATATAAATTCATTCGCGAGAATTTTGGGATGTCTGTGCGTCTCCGTCCGGAAGGCCGCACCAGAGACATCTGGCGGACGCCTAGGCGAGACTTCCCCGGCGGATGACGAGGAGCTTCGGATCGGAAATGCGGACGTGCCGATGACACGAATGTAGTAAAAGTTAGGGGAGAAAATATTCCACCTTCTTTTGTCAGCTGGCTCTTCTAGTGCAGCAATATGACCCACGCACTCGAAAAAAAAAAAACAAAAACAAAAAACAAACAAAAAACAAAACAAAACAAAAAACAAAAATGGACCAGCTGCCGCTCGCTAAGGAACTCGGCGGCGAACGCTTTAATATTGTCCCACTTCGAAGGGTCTCACGGAATTCATCGGCTGGTCTGGCTCCCTTTTTTTTTTCTTCGAACATACATGCATACATTTTCCGCTCCAATCAATGCATTTTGAATGGTGTACGAAAATCTGAGTTTCTCCAGAACTCGTGAAGATACAAATGTCACATCGAAAAATTGAGACTTCGCATTTGCACCGTTTCACTAACTCCTCCTTTTTGGAAGGAAGGTCCCAGTGGTTTGCAAAAAGTTGCAAAAAAGAAAACCTCCTCAATGCTAAATACGTATGCAAGACTAGTACTTCTCAAATTATTCAGAGTCGACTTGGAGCTCGAGGAAGTCAAACATTGAGAGAGTGATAAGAACTTGGTGCATTGAAAGTCACAGTGCTTGGCAAGTACATAATTTATTGTGCAAAAAAGTCTCCAGTATATATTGGCACAAGTGGGTTCAAATATCATACAATATGGTTCCTACCTTTACATCAACGGACTACTAAGTTTTCTATAAGTTAGGATTCTTCTTTTCTGCTGTACAGTCGGAAAACACCATCGGCATGCCGTTTGAAAAACTGCGAACTGAGATACGTTTGCTTCTTTTCTACTCTGAGATGTGCTCGATTGGGCAGTGTGTGTGTGCACACAATTATGGAGAAAGTCCTGGTAGGCAGCTTTCAAAGAAGAAAGGGAAATAAGGAAAAAGATTAATATATAGAGAACACCCAGAGTTGGAACACACGTCATCAAATCAAGGGACACTCGTTACTGGTGGAAAAATGGGCACAAAAAAAGGGGAGGGGGGGAAAGGAAATACAGAAATAAATTTGATTCATGAAAGTGATCACTGAAAGATTATGTGAAAAGACAAAAATTAGCTCAATATGACTTATAAAGCAAAAACAATGAATTCTCTGAATCTGCCTCATCCAAATGTCATACAAATGAAAAAGGATAAAGACACATGATGACACTGACAGGAAAAGTCATACAAAAGAAATGAGAAAAGAAATGATGACGGTGTTGGAATTGAAACAAAAATGAAATAATTCTTTGGGGGAACAGAGAACACCCTTCAAAGGAAACCAATGAAAAAAAAAAACAAATGAAATCTGACCAGTTCCTCTCATGTGGTACCGAGGAAACCTCCCATCGAACGGCCAAGAACATACAAAAAATGTCATCATCGGAAAAATCAATTGCATCTCGGATGCTCCCCCCACGCAAAAACAAAAGCCTTGGCTTTGCACCCAACTGAAAATATGACCCCACATGCTTCCAGTTCAGTTCATTCATCCATCACTTGGATCTATAGGAACGGCACTCAACCGAATTTGCCACTATGATGAATGATGACACCACCCCGATGTGCACTGGTATCAAGGAAAGATGAGCAAATGCACTGAGGATGACTCCAGGTGCCACACAAGGTTGTGCATCAAAAGAAACGCAAGACAAGTTTCGGCATAGAAGAGCAATGCATCACGACAGCTGAAACTCATTCTCTTTGGGAGAAGAGGTAGGATCACAGGAAGGGACAAAATAAACTATCAATTGCTTATCAACCACAAAACCTACGGTTTCGTAATTTGGGCCAGCTGGTGAAAGGGGACGAGTGAGTTCAGGAGTAGCATGGGATTATAAATGTGTGAGATCCAGATCAGAGATCCTTATGCGAGCCAAACAGAAAAACAACGATGGCAGAGCCTTTCTTGGTTGCATGTTCAGGATCACACCGGAGGAAACGAAAGGAAGTGCCAATAAATAATTAATTTTCTCAGGGGAATGTCCAGCATGGCAGAGTGAGCAGGTTCACCGGAAAAGTTTCAAGAATTTCTTTCAAATATGAGATGGAACCCAAGCGGCCACTGGCTCGTGCGACCGGTTTTACGACACATGCGGAAGATTTCATGCAGCCTCTTGGATCATACAGCCCCGAAATGGGAAAGATGTAATCACCCCCAGAAGTAGCAACCTCAAAGTCCTGCTTGAATGAAGATTTGTATGAATAGAGAGGGGAGGAAAGAGGGAATGTTCACACACCACAAAAGGCACAGGTTTACAAGAGAGAAAACAAAAAACAAACAGTGAAATGAGCAAAGAAAATTGAAGTAAGAGGGTGAACACTAGGATGCAACAAAGGAGGGGGGAGTTTGGAAGGGAGGAAAAACAAAACGAAAGAGGACTGAAAGATATGGTAGAAGAGGGGCTCACTGGCCCATCATGAGTGTATGGGACTCAATGGGAGCAGCAGAATCATAAACTGTGTCAGTGTCTTGGCTTGGCTCTCCTTGCAGTTGACATTGGGAGTGAAGAGTTCCTGCCCCACAGTCACAGAAAAACCTGCAGAAAACAAGGTAAAAAAAAACTTTCAATACCTTGAAGGACTCCCTTTAAGATGGCAGTACTCATATGACAAAACCAGTACCTGTCATGGCGGATGAACTCAACATCGTGCCCAGAATGACATGTGCGAATGCAGTTGATGCAGATGGCATTTCGCTCCGTGGTTCTGCATGTTCGGCACCGGAAGAAGTCATGCATTGGGAAGCTGGTGTAACTGGAAATTTTGTACAGGCACTGACCATTCCCCACTGCCCGTGCTACAGCATCTTGGTTTCCAAAAATCTTGTTATCTGCAAACAAAAGTGATCAAGCATGAAGCAATGGTGAGTTTGTTCTCAGTACCCAGCAATTCCCTTTGCATGGGATTCATGGTCAACATCATCCCCATCTACTGTACTATGTAACACATTTCAAATATATCAAAAAGAGAGACATAAAGCCCTCAAAAACAAGCTGGAGCCTGCATCTCAGTATCTCTCTGAGTTCCTTAGATTCCCTTGACAGAACATAAAGAAAAAATGAATCAGTATCATGAAGTAGGATGACTTGGAATGGTGACAGATTTTGCCAAGTAATGCTACATAAAGTGAAATTATCTGTTGCAACTTGAAGAAATTCCTCAAGTGCACACAAAATTCAATATTGTCTCACTTCCAACAGCAGTAATTTACAAGTCAAATCTGCTCCAATCTGCCCAACACATCATGGTACTATGGATCTGTGAATAAACTTTATTGGCGGATGATAACTGATAACATGAAAGTTGAGCAAAATTTTTATTTTAAAAAGGATTTTCAAAGTGATGAAATGATTATAAAATACTAGGTTGCCTCAGTTTGACAAGGAATGTGCAAATATGAATCACAAACCAAGTAGGCCTGAAACATGCAAGCCTAATATAGCTAAAAGATTATGGAAATATCTGTAAAGGTCTTGGAGATGCAAGCAATCGTCTCCCAAATTCATAATGCTTCCCAGAAGAACTGTCATGGGACATAATATCTCAATAACATCTCAGACAGGAATTCATCAAAATAAAAAGATAAACAGTGCTTACTGTTGAGAACAGGCTTCACTCCAGAAGCTAGGCAGAGACCTCCAAACCGATTGTTGAAGATCAGATTGCCCTCAAGTGTAGCTGTTGCATTATTAGTGATCTCAATGCCAGCAGCCATGCCATCAAATATGCGATTCCGCTTGAGAATGGGATGGCTCTGCGTGGAGATGAGGACCCCAGCCTGGGAATTGCGGAAGATGTCGTTGTCTTCCAGCATCCCTCGACCCCCATTGAAAATGCAGACGCCACCATCTCGGCCATCATAGATCTTGTTACGCCTCATTGTTGGGTTAGAATCCGTCTTGATCCAGACACCAGCCATGGCATTATCAAAGATCTCATTTGCTTCGAGGACCCCAAGCCCTCCATTGTAGACAAGGACTCCTCCATTCTGCCCTCCCCAGATCTTGTTCCTACGAATCAGGGGATTGCTTCCAGTCCTGAAATAATCGAGAACACCACCAGTTAGTCAATAACTTGAAGCCAGCACCAAGGATAGACTTTATACAAAGAACAGAGACCATCAAGAGTCAAAGCACACCTACATCTGACAGGCTGTCTACAAAATTTGGCCTTGCATATTGGCAGACCAAATGTTCTACATTTGCAAGACCGAAGGTCACTATGGTGAGTTTTCCATTTGGAAAATAGATGGACATTCAATGAACATTTATTTAAGTAATTTACAGCATGGTCTTCATAATTCACAATACAGAGTATTCTCAGATCAAGCCATTCTACTTGTTTCATCTTGTTCCTCTGCTATATCTTTTATTCAGATAATTTTATCAGCATGGACATTTTGAAGGTATTGCAACAAGAGTTCATTTTCTTCATTCCTTCTTCCTAAGCCTAATTTAATGAGTTTTCAGTTGAAGCAAAATGGTATAATTCCTTCAACTTTTACTCAGGCTGGTGCATTGCCTGTTATCTTGGACTGAGAAACTCTCTTTGTGTGTCACCCAGGGAACATGCAGAAAACCACCCAGAAGACATGAGATCTCTCCATCTTGAGAAGTAGCTGCTCAACCTGAAAGCTCTCATGGATTCCAGCACTTTATCATATCATGTGCACCACAACCACCTGACATATGTAAAGATCATAGCCACAGGTTGAGGGTAGTGACTTCCTCGCATGTAGGATAGACTGTTTCAAACACTTAGTTTCAGTCCAGCTATAATCCTTTAAGAATATAACTGATTCAATATGTTCTGCAGGTTTTGGCAGCCTGATCATCTGTGTGCAGTGTTGATAGCAATCAAGCCCCTGCTAGTAAAAAAGACTGACAACTTCTGTCATTCTGGGTAACTACTCCAAACCAACTGATCACACCATTTCACATAATTTCATCATTCCCAACTCACATTCAAAAATGAAAATATCAGTGGGATCATGAATTCAGCTGTTACCTGATCTGAACACCAGAGTATAAGTGATTGAAGATGTCATTCTCCTCCAGCCTCCCATGTCCATTGTCATAGAAGTAAACCCCAACCTGCTTCCCAGAATGGATACGATTCCGTCGGAGCACAGGGGTTGATCCTGTTGTGATCCACACTCCAGCAAGAGTGTTAGCATAGATTTCATTTTCCTCTATGAGGCCAAGTCCTTTCTCATGCACATACACTCCTCCATGCTGTCCGTGATGGATCTTGTTATGCCTCACAATTGGATCACTATTTGTGCGAATCTGAATGCCTGCTAAGGCATTGCCTAGAAAAACAAAGCAGACAGAAGGAATTCATTTTTCACTGGCTTGTAAAATGCAAAGACATCCTCCAAAAAGCATGTTTCAGGTTTCTTGAAGAAATAAAGCAAACTTTACTTCTAGCAATGGAACCCTTTTTTTAAATACTGTGGTTAGCATTAAAGACATTCCAATTTTCAGTATCTTACATTCAATATGAAAATGTCAAGAAATAGATAGTTAGGACAACCATAGTATAAATACCTTTGTTTTCCGTTAAGAAACCGTGACTTCTAGTCACATGTCTTGAATGTAGACAGAAAGGTAAGCATTAAAGACTGAGAATGGGAATGAGAGCATGCTGGACAGGGAAGCAGTATCATACATGGGCTTCCTACAACAAAGGGTTTAAATCCTTGAAATTTAAGTCAGGATAAAACTCACCATAAATATTATTGTGCTCAATGACGCCTCGACCATCGCCAAATATATATACTCCTCCCTGATGTCCATTGTATATCTCATTGCGTCTGATGGTGGGGCTGCTGTGGGATGTGATCCAAACCCCGGCATAGTTGTTGCTATGAATCTTGTTCTCAATGAACTGACCAGATCCTTGTTCATGAACGTGAATTCCACCTGTTCGTCCATGGTGAATCTCACATCTTACAACAGTTGGATCGGCTCCAGCTTTCACCTCAAAACCAGCCAGGTGATTATGGTGGATGTCATTGGCTTCAAAGTAACCCTGGAGAGCAATATAAGGTGAATAATGATCAGTCCATCTCCTGGCTAACACACTGCCATGGATAGATTGAGAGAAACTTAGGATGATGAGGACATACCCTGCCATTGTCAAAGGTGAAGATCCCAACATCCTTCCCATGGTGGATGTGGTTCCTTCGCATGATGGGATGGGAGTGATTCTTCACCCAGATTCCAGCCAAGACATTGCGAGAAATCTCATTGTTCTCATAGATACCCTCAGCATAGTCAGTGATAAAGAGGCCCACACATTCACAGTCACTGATGTCACAATTTCGCAGAGTAGGGGATGCACCCTGACCACTGACACACACTGCTGCTCCAACTGTAATAAATTTGTATCAGACTTTAAGATCTCAGAATGTATAAAATATTATTCTCAAAAATTCCTAATATCTGCATCTAGTTTAGTAATATCTGCATCATCTAAAAATGAGAGCAAAATGTGAACCAGTAAAATCTAAGTGATTGCTTTTTCCTCTGAGTATCTGAAATCCACCCTCTGTGCAGCTCTATACTATGCATAATTTATGATACTAATAAAAAAAGGAATGTATCACATCAGGCAAAATGTTCATCACCAAATGTGGAATAATATGCTCAGCATTTCATAAACTCTTAGCAAATACCTTTTATACACAAACCAATCTTGGTTCTCAAACTAATACTGGAACTAGGAATATGGATTCATTGATATACTAGTAAATGCTAAGTTTTGCCAGAGAGTACCAGTTCTAATTGTTGAAAATGGTTGCATATTATCAAAACAACTTAATCACAATTTGAAAGTGGAAGAAATTTCAAAGTTAAATCTCTAAGCCTAAATTTAAATCAACCACTAGGCATTTTAAATGTTTTCATTGTAAAACATAGTCACTCCATGAACTTCCTTAGATGACAAAAGTTGAGCAACAAAATGGCATTTTGATATTCATACCTTCCTTCAAAAGCTTTTAAGGTTGGAAATACATACAACCATTCTGGCATGGCTTTATTCAAGTACACCAAGGCTAGTGTGAGTGCAGCTGCCCTGCAGCTTCTGAGGATGCAGGCAATAGGAGGAAAAAAAAAAAAGTATATAGTATGCAGGATGATTCACTCATGAGGCAGAAAATGTACACACAACTGCCAAGTGGGAATATCACAAGGTTGCACTATATGTGTTGGCATAACCCACTTGGTGAAATATTATCACCCTCTGATACGCAAAGATTGAAACAGCCAGTTATCATGGGTTCCTGTCCATGACAGTAAATAAAACTTCTATCATTCTTCCACAAACCATTGGTTTAAACTGCTACTGTTCCTAACCGCATACCCACCAAGTTCTACGTTCTTCCACATTCTTCCTAACACATTGAGGATATTATTCACTTTTGTTATGCATACAGCAATGAATAATTTTGTAGCTTAAAGAAGTCCTAGACATTCATTTTTTAAGTAGGAATGATTGAGATCTCAGGAAGTCTACAATTATTTCAATAAAAAAGCAACTCACCAACACAAGAGCTTCTGATGATGCAATGTTCAATGACCGGGGTGGAATGTTCTACAACCTCTAAGCAGTAGTGTTTACTGCCAGACATGGAGACACGGGCTGTATCAGATGAGAAGCGAAGCGTCATGTAGCCCAAGTAGGCCTGGGAGGCCCTCTCCACAAACAGGACAGTGAAATCACTGTCATTCTCAATGATCACTTTTTCCTTCACATTCCCTGATGCAGCTCCAATCAATGTGATACCCGATTCAATCATTAAGCTTTCCTTTTTGTACACTCCCTCATGCACAAATATGACGGGGTTCCGCATGAACTCAGAATATTCAATGGCTTCTAGTACAGTGTTGAAGTAAAGCTCTGGGTTCTGTCCGAGGGCAGTGGCCCGATCTCTGAAGTCCTTGCGGACATGGATGGACGAGTGGAACTGTCTCACACTTTCCTTCCATGGATTTGCATAGTCAGAGTCCTGAGGACTGCAGAATGCATATTGGCAAGGCTCTGAGCTGAAGAGGGGCTGGTCATACTCAAAGATATGCTGATAGAGGTTTCGCCTGGAATGAAAGAAAAAATTAGGGATGTAAAGCACACTCGCTATGAAGACCTACAAAATTTCCTAAATTCCTGGAACTCACCAGAGTTCAATATCATTGGCAATGCAGGAGAATCGCTGACATACTTGAGATACTCTGCATAAGTCCTTTTCACTCAAATATGAGAAGATGTTGAGGAGGACTTCATCTGGAAGCTCACATTGAAGATATTGTGCAGAGGGATTATTTCCAGTCACTAAAAGAATAAGACAGCAGCAAAAGGTCACTTGGGATAATTACTCTTCACCTACCAGTACAAGTGTCCACTATGAAGTTGATATTAGATTGATGTTCAGATTATATAAAGAAGTAATGGCTGGTATAGAGCTGTCCTTTGTTGAAACATGCAAAATTGTGTACCATGGCGTTAACTTAAATAAAGACTAGCTTCAACAAAATGTATAAACCTGAACTGATGACTCAATTGAACCTCATTGCATTTTGGAATCTGAAGAGATTTGTTTTCATTTTAAAAATTGATGTGTTCTTGAAGAAAATCCATCAAGGACTAAAAACTTTTACTTTGTAACTTTAGGTAAATACAGTACACTAAAAAAAAAATGTTTAGTTAACGAATGATTATGAAAATCCCAGGAGTCATGCTATAAATAAATAACTTTTAAAACACATTATACTCAATTGGTAACTACATTTAATGCAACAATGGTTTATACCTAATTATTTAGTGGAGAAAGTCACTCACCCTCAAGTTCTGTGTCTGCCCTTCGCCGCTTTCGTGCAGGAAGCATCTTATCTGAATATCCTGAGACCCCACGCCGTGATGAGGAACTACCTGTTGCTGCCACCTCTGAAGATCCTTAAATGATGGACAAATGAATTTTTTCAGGATTAGCCAAGCATACACACTACATTGCATCACCAGTATAGGCCTGTGGTTCACTCAATTTCTAGGTTTTCAAGGTCAAATGTGGCCGAAAAAGAAATTCATATGAGACAAGGAAAGTCAAATGTGTCACTGAGCTGCTTGAGAGTACCAAAAACACAACATACAGAAGATCAAATGTTGGATGTCAAACTTTAAAGAAAAACATGTTCAATATAAGGAAGTTCAAATGCAAATGATCCACAAGGTATACCATACCCGTTAGGGGATGCCTTCCCATTACATTCCCACAATTTGTAGTGTCAGGTACATTTGCATATGGTGCTTCTAATGCAAATATTATTTGGCAATCAACACATCAGGGTTAGTACTAGGAATATGCAACTACCATGGTGCTTCACTGCAGTGAAGAACCCAGGAAACTGCTATGACTATTAATCCCAGCAACGAAAAAGTTTTGTTGAAATTTTCAATTGCAAGTACACAATGGAAAAAAAAAAAAAAAACAGAATACCAAGTGTCAAGGTCAATGAGATATCTTCCACGCAGTTTTTCCATATATGAAATCTGCCCTCCCACCCCAAATGGTTGGTGGTGGCATGTTCCTATGACTAACCCTGACATCCAACATAGCACTTATATGACTTTCTTACTTCCACATTTGACCTAGAAAACCTATAAAGTCCATTTCTACAACCCACCAGCTGCAGAGGAGATGGAGATGGTGGATGACCCAGAAGGTGATGGTGAGGAAGTACAACTGTTTGAGTTGGTAACACACAATTCTGATCCTTTCACCTCCAACCCTCTTGTATCACTGTCCTCCCGAAACTGTACATCAGAGGCATTTGCTAGAAGTCTTGAGGCACTGGGATCGGACGTTTCGCCAGATGAGTTAAATTCGATCACATTTTCAGTTGGTTGATCTTGAGATTCCTTGGCTCCAGGAGATTCACTTGTACTTGTATCACTTGAGGAGGAGTCTGCCATGTCTATGGGTTCGGAAACATTTGCCGCAGCAGGAGATCCCGCTTCTGGGCATCCTGCACTTCTTCGAGTTCTAGGGACTGAGAGCTTGCGACGCCTTGAGCGCTGCCTCTGATACGTGCAACCTCCCATTTGGGACAACTACCAGGTAACAAAACCTTTAAATGACTACAATTCAGTAGTATTGCTTCCAGGGGCCAATAATCCTTTTAAGAGGTTATAAAACACATAACCTCCATGGTATGGTCTTTGTTGGCAGGACTCCCCTGATTGTGCCTAAAGAAAGTATACACTTAGTGTTACATATATAAATCATTGAATAAAGACAAGGATAGATTATATAAATGGTAGGACAAATAAAAAGTAAGAGAAATCTTACTGTTGATAGTTATTTTTTAATTCACTGATACTTGTAACAGTCCACCAATGGGCTGCAACCCATTGGTTGAGAGTGAGAGATTTTGTGCATACATGCAAGGTCAGAAATTGGACACTTCTAGAAAATCTTGGAGATTCTAGCATCTTTTCATCCTCTTCCTTTAATCTTGCACTAAAGCCTTGCTTTAAGAATGGCACTTCATCCCTCTCAACATGAATTTTTCATGGGAGGTGATGCAACTGCAATGCTTTGTTAAAGTTTGCTTTCAAAATTTTGAGAAATATGACTTAAGTGAAGCAGTAACATCTACTACATTAGAAGTTTCAGTTTTTTGCATGATGCGTTAAAATAAAAAAGTCAAACAAATCTCTTGAAAGATTTATGACCACTACTTAAACTTAATTGGAAAATTATTAGATGTAAGATCAGTGATTACTAAGGTTATTGAATTCCATAGATAAAGACATAGGCCTAAATGCACAAACCTCATATTGGGGAGATAATGAGGCTTTTAAGCTAAAAAGCTCCTTCCCTCCATAGGATTCCCATTATTCCTGAAGAACCATTAACTAAAGGAGAATTTCAGCATTCAAGCCTAAATTTTCCTTATAGTTAATGCCTACTTTTGCTACCATCTCAGAGTTGTCACAGTTTGTCAGTTCTCCTCTTCAAAAGTAGAATGTTCCCCATTAACTTACTTCTATTTGTTTTAGTTGAAGTCTCAATGCTTAATATCAAATTAGATGACAGGCAGACAGATTCAACCAGTCTCTTACTATTATGAAAAACTGAGCTTTACCTTCAAGTGAATGGGAATGAAACTACTCCTACTCTGTCAGACTTATGCTGTTTAGGCAGTTCAAACATTACTCCAGTTTCTTCCTTTTGAAAAAAGCACCAGATAAATTATAACTAAAAACAAATTGAGTAATGGACAGGTGTGACCAACATGAAAGGCCTATTCAATCCAAATAGTGTTATATGAAGTGGGGCAGATAAATGACTCCTAACAATTAAGTATCTTCTGACTTGGAGGTTCAGGCCTACTGTTCATTGAATAGGCCTAATGTTAAGCCTATAAAATGCAGCTTGGTACTAAGGCAGTTAAAACTTGAAATTAGAGCAGGCCTACTGAAAACTGGGGCAAGGGAGTTTCTTTAGGACTATACTTATTAAATGAATTCCCGCTCCTTGCTGCAACAGGCAGGAGAGCTGCAGTGTGACAAGAATGCGGAAGAAGTAAAAGTAACCATGCTTTCCTGGATGTGGCTACTACCAAAACTTCTTCCTATATGCAGACCTAGGCCAAACCCAGCTAATGATTTTCCAAAAAGTGGTTAGGGTTCAAACACAAACCAACTTCACTCATTTGTCCGACTACAAGAATTATAACTTCCTCTACCTATCATATTTCGTGAGGTTGCCTTCACGTTAAGCTGGTCTAACGGTACAAGGTCAAACGTTAAGTTACAAGAAAGTAATACGATTAGGAGTGTAAAAATGAGTGTAATTACAAGAATATTGAAGATTACTCCATTTCGCAGAGTTACGAGAACTAAATTAGGCCAGTAGTCTCCATCAATATGCCTTGGGGTCACGAAAAACTCACGTGGGGTTCCTGCACGAATCAGGTCAACACATCCGCAAGCGAATGCAGGTCAAGGAGTTACAAGGCCAGCATCGACAGTTTGGCCCCAACATTGGATTATAACCAAACTTATAATATCATTAGGCCTAACTATTGCACGGCAGTGTATAAAAAGAAAGAAGAGAAAGAAGAACGCAGTGAGTGAAATGGGTCCACGGGAACATGGCGGCGCAGCCAGCTGACAGAGTCGACCACAGCGACACCTGGCGATGTCAAAAATTATATTAGTTTATCTCTGAAAATCATAGATGTCCCACCCTGTCAGCAGCGCAGCATTTTCGCCTCCTCTAACTACTGTACCTAAAACCCACATCCTCCACGGAATGTCAAGAGGATTTATTCACAGTCCGTTAGAACTGCACAGCCAAGAAAGGTGCAGGGCATCAAACCTAAAAGTTTATTGTAGCTTCGGTCTCACAGCATCCAGAATCGAGCATCCATGATAAAAGCCACAAGACTTCTCTTTCCCATTTTCATTTGTCTGTATCAATTTGACGATTGCAAGGCACTGCATATTGTGGCATGAATTTTATTCCGATTCTAGTAATTTGTCACACGAGTCGAGACCAAAGGCCTTCAGCGATTTGGCATCCGTGTTGACTTCGGCATCCGTGTCATCCTCGGCTCAGCCGGAGGGAAGCCTGACCGCGTCGCTAGGGGGAAGCGGATGCTCTCTGAGTTCCGTTTTCGTGGTTGAAAAAGGGTGCATTGGTTCTTGAGACGTGAGCATTTTGGTCCGTGCAAAGTCAAAATGATTGACACTAATCAGTCAAGTTGATGTTTCGGTGAAAAACCAGAACTCTTCTACTGCAGAGTCAAGGGAAAAGCGATCTTTATTATCGTCCGAGCCGATCTGACAAAATGGACGGATCAGAATATTTGCAACATTCCTTGAAGGGTAGAAAGTCATCATTTTTCAGACTGGAGAAAGACTATTGAAAAATATTCGCCTTTCCACTATTTTCCACGATTTCCACTATTCACTGGAGTTCACTCCAGTGAATAGTAGAAATTGTATCATTTCCAACTTCTTTGAGTGAATGCGAGAAATCGTCCGATTTCGTGCTTAAGTTCCGCAGTTTCACCGTGGGCCTATTAGGCCTATGTGCCTCGCGGTAGGCCTAAACGGCTCTTTCTGCGCTTCGAATGCAGGGATTATAACGTTGAAGTTTCAAAAGAGTTTTCGAAGGTGAGGTTTTCCTTTTTAGCGAATTCTGCGAATTCTTCGCACAGAGTTCTTTGCGGATTCTCCTAAGTGCAATTTCTCTCTCAAATCTGTGCTGAACTGCCGTCGTTCCCGCTTCGATTTAAAAAGTGACTCAAAAGACAAAAATATTCGCTTACCCTCGATATGACTCTCGAAATAAAACTCGAAACTGATTAACCCTAAAAACCTGGATGATCTCATATCATGTCCATTGGTAACGGTAGTTACAGCGATGAACCGAAACGCAAGCTCTAAATCATTGACATTCCGCACTTTTCTTGCCATCGCCAATTACTTATTACCCCACTTACCACAAAATATCCAAGCCAGAAAATTACGAGCTTCGGCGAGCCAACGAAGGCATCCTGAAAACAAGAAGAATGTGGGCACAAACTCCCAAGAATGGAAACCCGCATTTACCTCGGTAACCGAAAGGTTAAACGAAACGTTGCCGACGCAGCATTGTATTCAACTGGGAATTTATTTGCAATTTTCTAAAGGGGGAAACGACTCCCCCCCTTCGATCGATCAGTTGAGAACGTCTGTTCCATCAACCCAGAATCTCTCAGTGTTTCTGAAAAGGTTACAAGATAAATCCCTTTATCTCCGGGGGGGAAGAGAGGGAAGAGGGGGTGGGAGCTCCTTCCATGTTGCAAATCCGGAATTCCGGAATATGCCAGGGAAAAGTCGATCAGTGCAATGATGCACAAGGCATTACGGACGGTGATGGGCGTGCGACGCAGTCAGGGACTTGCATCAATCAATCAATCGTGTACTTTGGCTTTCAGCCTGGAATGCTTCGCCCGAGACCTGCATTGTGCTGCCTCGCGGTCGGGAGCGAGCGCCCCCTAATGCTATGTTAAAGATTCCAGGAAAACGGAGAGCTGCGATTGGTCGAGGAAGGGGAAGGGGCGGGGCTTCCGGTGTCGGGACCCCGCCCTTGTGGACTCTGCTGTCTCCCCCTGCGCGTTGGCCATAAGGAAGAAGGGAAGAGGAAAGTTGGAGGCAAAATCCTCTCCGAAGCCCCTGTGATCAAGATTATCCGTGATTATCCCTTGTTCTCGGCGAATTCGGCATAATTTACTTCCCTCGGGATTACGACGGCTCCTCGTCCGACTGAAAGGAGGTGAGTGAATGGGAATCGAAAGATCAGCGTCATCCCCGTCGCTTTTGCATTCCGCGCGTCGAGTCGGGGCGCGAAGTGTGGGTGACTCGGGCGTTTTGGGAACGAATTCGCGGTTCGCCGGCTCGGGATCGCCGTCCGCTGGCTCGGGATCGTCGTCATGATCGCTGAAGGTGAGGCTGAATTTCGGACGAGGTCGAGATTCGGAAGAAAAGCCACCAAACCGTGTGTAAAGTGTTTCAGTGGACTCAAAGATTATTTATTTAATTTATGTACTTATATATAAGTATTTATATGTAAGTATTTCAAGTCTCGTCTTGCATGATGCTCATTATTTTCATTTGATTCGGCGAAATCCTCCGCCTTGCTCGTAACTGACCGCCTCGGTTCATTTCACAATCAACTTTCTCCTCACATTTCCTCATCGAAGACCGAATGCGCAACACTCGCCCTCTGCGGATCTGCAGTTCTTGCAAATCCTGTCTAAATCGGCGATTTTATGCGTGGGAAATTGCAACCAAAGAAGCTTTAGCTCAGGGGTCGGGAACCTTTTTGGCCACGTGAGCCATATTTTTAGATTGAGCAAAGTGCTTGTGAGCGCAAGGTTTTCAGAAAGACAAAATTTCCCCCAGAAGTTGGCAGCAGACGTAAGCATTCTTAGATACATGAGAAAAAAACGAGAAACAGCCGTGACTTAATGAGCCAAACTTTTCGGATCGTGAGCCAAATTTGGCTCATGAGCCTCAGGTTGCCGACTTCTGACTTCATCGCGAATTTCCAAAGATAACGTGCGAATCGATCGACAGCGAGACTCCGATCAGATTCTCTCGACGCGAACGCGAGATCGCCAAAATTTCGCTTCGTCGAAATCCGTCGCGGCCGGAAATGCGTCCCAAAAAAAACGGCAGCTGGGAATTCGCCCATCGAGGTCAGTGGGACGCTCCGGCTTTCGCCCGCGTCTTGACCGCGCGGTTAACAAAGAGTACCGCCGTCGAAACCCTGATGTTCGAGCGGTTACCGATTCCGGAGAGAGAAATTAACAATGCATTAACAATGATAAGAAGTTGGTTCTTCGCGCATCATAACTTACGTAATGATACGCAATTAACTCCCGAAAATGAGAAATTGCGGATGCCGACCGACGAGAACCATCACGACAATCCCGTTCTCATCGAGCACAATCCCCAAACCGAACGGCCACCAACAAGCGCCGCGATCATGCAAAACAAATACGAAGTCTCTCAAAAGAAAGCGGAAAACTGTCAAATCGTTCGTCTCGCCGGCCGCGGAAGGTGTTGACTCTACTGGCCACTCGAGCTCCGACTTCAGACGGGGAATAGATTCTCCTCGCTGGCAAATAGGAGCATGAGGCTAAGTATACAATGCACTTTCAAGGGTGAATGATATATTCTTTGCCTGTCGACACTCGCGAAAAGCAAACCTCAGAAAAGTATTTAAAAGCCTCCCGAGTTCAGGACAAAACGAACGTTTCTCTCCTTCGTTCCTCATAATTTCGTTCCGTCAATTCCGTTCCGTCAATCCCGTTCCGTTGAAACGGCAAGCCGCGAATCGGAAAGCTTGAGAAATGCAGTTGGCCAATCGTGTGCCATCGCCTCCAACAATTTTCAATCAATTCACAAAACGTGCGTATTTCGCAGCTGACCTCGTCGAACGAGTTCTTGCGACCTGACATTTCCTACGAAAATCATGTCAGAACAGGTCAGGTGTTCGCAGAGGGCAATTACACCTTCGAGAGTCCTTATCAGTTTTTGGTCTCGGTTTCGATCGTAACCTTGTTGCAAATGAATTTAAATAATTTCAACATATTAATGATTCGATTATCCAGAGATGGGTCCCATTCAAGTCTTAGTCCCGTTTTCATCCAAGGCAATAATCTTCCCTATTTTCTGCATTTTCGGCCGACGTTCCTTCCAGCCCTCCGCCCCGCCCCGAACTTTCATTTACGGAAGCGTAAAGATATACGCATATGATTTTCAAAATTCTGTGGCAAAACCCTGTCCCACTATCAGTACCGATCAAGAATTGCCCTGCTGCAAGGATTGTCCCACGAAAAGCCTTCTCACAGCATATACACCCCGATTGGTGATGATGACACGTTCTCTTACATCACTGCTAAGTTCGACAGCAAAGAAATTTCTCACGCTGATCACCCTCGAGACGGGAATTCACGCTTCTGCCCCCATCTCAGAAATAAAACGCAGGACGTTGACTGAATCCGGATTGCCCCCGGCTCATCACCCCCCGGAGATAAAGGGATTTATCTTGTAACCTTTTCAGAAACACTGAGAGATTCTCCCGAGGCTGAAGACACTTCTCGTGTCAGGCCGCGATTGTCCTCCGAGGGCTGTCAGGACTCGACGAGGCACACACCCATCGCACCACATTTTACCCCCCGGTGACCACGAGAAAAACCGGTCACGACGTTGATAAAAGATCTGCTTTTCACCCTTCACCCCCTTCGACCTTTCCATCCAGTATTCGCTCGACCTTGCGCGCGATAAGATGGAAGCGAAGCAAGCCTGGAAGCCGGAATCCGACTCGAATCCGGAATCTGGCTGCAAGCCAGAACCAGACCCGGAATCCGACTGGGTCTATTACGTCCCCGTCCAGTGCAGTGAATGGGGCAACGTCCCCCTAGCGAGTTTCGTGGGCAACGTCCCCGCCGCGAATGTCGCGGGCGACGTCCCCGCGGCGACGTGCAGTGATTTTTACCCCGGCGATTATTCCACTCCGCCGCAGACGCCGGTTTTCCTTCCGACCGACGAGAATGGGTAAGACTCCTTTGACTCTCCGAGGGGATTAGTGAGATTTTGCGGGATTAGTGAAAATTTCTGGGATTAGCTCAATTTCGCGGAAGCGGGTGAAGAAAAGCCGGACCGGACGGGTTGTCGCCCTCGGAAACGATCCGAAGACCTCGAAGGCCTCCCGAGGACCTCGAAGTCCTCCCGTGGAATGTTTATGCAAGGGCTTTGCGAGGGGAAAGCCTTTGGTTCCTCTGATGCAACACTTCAACGCTTCCTTCGACGCTTCCTTCGACACATGTGCCGCACATGTGACACGTGCCGCAGGAACTTGATTTCTGGCGCCGGCAGCGCCACGGGAGATGAAAATAAGAAAATTCATCTGATGGATGGAGTGACAACCGGAATCGACAGGGCGAAAAAGGACCGAACGCGGTGCATTCGCGGCGTCCCCCTTCTGCGAGAGAGAATAGCGGGGAACAGAGGGGAATAGAGGGGATCTCGGCCGGCAGATGCAGCCGGCTTGCGCTGAGCAAACATTCCCCTCCTTTCATCGCGATCGACGAATTTAAAAACCCGAACGAGGGGAAATTTTTTTTTGCACGTCGGTTGCATGATACGGTAGCTTCTCGTTTTTCGCCGGTTCGAGTTCACGAAAGCCTAAATATAGCCCTCAGGTGTGTGCGTGTCGAGGGGGGGGAGGGAGGGGGGGGGGCTAATTAGCGCACCCGGGGGAGCCCTGGCACCGCAGGGTGCCCCTTCACAATAACAGACACCAAGAAAAAAAATTCTATAAGCTGCTGCTGCCGGCAAATGAGGCCTCGTGTCTCGGCTCGAATTTCCCGTGCGATTTATAAAAAAGCGAAAGGGGGGAGGCCAATTGTGTCGGATCTCTGATTACACCCATTAAAAAGCGGGGATCAATCGGGACGGGGAGGGAGCGAAGATGCTCAGATGTTGTGACACACGAGACTCAAGCAGACACGTGTCCGTCCCCCCCCCCCCCCCCCCCCCCCGCCCCTCTGGAAAGTATCTCCGCGCATGAATATGAAATAAATCCGAGGCCAGCAGGGGTTATCTCCACCGGCGGATAATCTGGGTGGAAATGTTATAAATGCGAGGTTATCGGCCGTGGAGGTGTTGAGAGATATATATTCCCTCTTCTTCATCTCGTGCCATCTGATTTGTTTGGGTCAATGTGTTTAGAGGCGCTCGGCCTTTGATCTAAGGGAGATCCCTGTGATTACCGAGGGGTGCTCCACATGACACCCAGCATCACGAAATGGGATTGATCGTACCTCATCATCGCCCCCCCCCTCCGCCCCCCCTTTTTTTTCTCTCTCTCCTTTTCTTTCCCCCCGCATTGCATGCACTAGTCCATCCCGGTCTCTCCCCGAGTGACGCAGCTCTCTCCTATGCAGGGAAGAAACCGAGGAAGCGGAAGAAGCGAAGGTAGCAGAAGGAGTGCGAATACCCGAAGAACTGAGGAGAGCCGAAGAACTGCGGAGAGCAGAAGTGTGGACAGCGGAAGACGCGAAGAAGCGACGGAAAGCGAAGATGGACTACCTGAACATGAAGCACAGCGGCTACGGCATCCCGAACCCCCTGGCCCAGTGTCCCCCCTCCCTGGATCCCATGAGGCACAACCACATGAATTACGCCGCAGGTGAATCCCCATTCACTCACGTTCCATAATTCAGGAGTCGCGTTACGGGCCCCCGCTTTTCACGGCCATACATTCGCGGTGAAGTGGGTCTGCCATCTTAAAACGTTCTCTTCGGCAATGAGTCGGCATCCAAGAGCAATGACTCCTGAAAAGAGGCTGCCGGACTTTCTATCCGGTATATTTAGTCCCGGTCGTAACCAGACCAATTTTTTTCGGTCTTTTTCGAATCCGTTGAAGCAAGAGCCATGAAACTCGCGCATAATGCACGTTCAATTCTTCGCCATTCAACGTGTCAGAATTTACTTTTTAACCCAAAATCAAGGCATAAAATGTCTAGGTCGCCTCGTTAAATTCCACCATTCGACGGCTGGCCATCCATGACCGTGGTGAAGGCCCTATGAAAAATGATCCTCGTATGGTGCTCCCGTGTCCTTTGTCCCCGACGAATGCATTTAAAGTCATCGACGCGATAATCCGAGTCACTCTCGTCTCTGCACACAAGCCCGCATCAATGAGGATGATTATCGTCGCACGATTAAAATATTCCCGGAGTTAAAGGGCTGAAAGGTGATTGGTTCCGGGGAGTCACCCCACTTTCTAATGCCATTTGGTCTGCCATCTTGAGGCGCTTAGTAAGAAAAAACGTTCGTTGTGACGTCAGCAACCCAGATTCTCATTTGAGAAAGTTCTCGGAAATCCTCGTCGTCTTAGGATGAAGATGGCGCCCCACACAGCTTAAGAGCGTGGGCCACGAACCCACTGCCTCTATCGACCTGTTTGTGGGCGTTTGTGGGAGAAAATGGGTTGCGTGCTAGCAACAATGCTCGACCGCCACGCACGGCAGTTGCAGCACGGCAATTGCGGCACGGCAGTGGCATTGACATCTGCAAGGATGTCGATGCAACTGCCGTGAACCTTTGGGAAGATTCGTAGTTGAGAGAAAAAGATGCTACTGCAGCTTTAGAAGCATTGGTGGAGAGAACACAATGCAGAAAAGCCTATTTGTTATTCAAAGGACAGCTTAGGTAGATAGGAGACCCGATAGGATTTAAACATTGTTTCTAAAGCTGGCCGCCAGTTATCTACACTGTTTTCGAATTGGATTCGCACTCCCTCCCGGGTAATGAAGACCAGAGAAAGCACGAGGAGGATCCGCTTCATTAGATCATCCACGAAACCATATAGGGAAGCGCTCCAATGGGAGGCTGGGGGGGGGGGAGTGAAAATTCAATCCGGAAGCAAGCAATGTATGGCTGCTTCCCTCTTAATTTTTGAGGTGGAAACTCTTCCAACTAGACTGGAGATAGTGGACTGAAAGATGATTCTATACAGTTTGTTTCGTTCTTGTGAGATTCTTGTGATCCGAATTACGAAGCAGCATCAATGCTTTTCCTAATTGAGATGTAGAATACGTGGGAAGTGTCCGGCAGATTTAAACTGGCTGTAGACTCTGACAGCAAATAAATATAATTTATTATTTAAGGCTCATGCCTCACCTGGACATTCGAAAGACCCACGGGACAACCTAAATTCCTCTCCCCCGGATTTTGGCACAGAGCCCCTCATTTCAGCAAACATTGCCATCCGGGGGCCGAGCGGACCTCGACGGCCGTGAATGAATGAATGAATGAATGGAGGAATGAATGAGACGGGATTTCGTCATGTCCGAGGAGGCATTGAGTGCCATGCAGGCGATTCAGCACCCTCCCCTTAATGATGATCGATGACTCGGTATGATGACCATCATGACTCCCCTCCTTTCCATGAAATCACGCCAAGTGAACCCCCCAACATATGATTATATCATGCCTACCATTCCAAGCATGAAGCTTCTTCCAAGCTATAGAATGAAATTCATATGGAAATTAATGCTCCCTGACGACATGAAAAAAAAAACTAATTGGGATTGAGTCATTTGCCTTCATACTGGCCGAGGCGTTTACTTGGCGATATAAAAGGTAGGATGAGACATTTCTGGGATGGATGGAAACCTCGCATGAGCGTGCCGCGTTCCCTCCTGTAATTGATGGTTTCATTTGTCTCCGCAGAAGAAACTGCGTGACAGCTGTTTCTTTCACATGCCGTCTTTTGAGTCATCTATATCCACGCATCACAGATTGGCAAAAAAATATGGCATGCAAGGAGAGACGACGTCACATTCATACCAAATGATAACAATTTTATCTCTGTCGATACTAGATGATTGCTCAGAGAATGAACTTTTATTACTTTACTGCTTGACAGCGAAAGCGTTGAGAATTGCTGGCAGTCAGTTGCTCGAAGCAGGTTCCCTTTGATGAGTGGAAATTAGTCTCTCTTTTGTTTTCCTCGAAACGGGTGAGACGACTGGGAGACGGTTTTCCCCGCTTCAATCCCAGGATTAGGAGCGGTGCGACCACAAATACGATAGGGTGGGATTGTCGGCTGGGATCGTGACCTTGTCTCCTCGGGCGGGAGGGCCTTTGCCTCCCCCGGTGGAGGCAAAGGGCCATGCCGCTTCTAGGCGGAGATGCCTAATCCTTTTTTTTTTTAAGTGGATGATGGGACGGAGGGAGTGTCATAAAGGGAGATGAGGAGATTCGATAAAGGTCGAGGCTGACCCGGCTTCTTAAGTTCTAACGAGGTGAAAGGGCACCGCAATCCGTCTTAACGTCTTCGCCACTGGCGTCACTAAAGTCCCCCATACCGGCCTGCACCTATAAGTATGCCTAATCGCCCTGACTACCTCTGGAGACCTTCAGTTGAAGTCATGTGGCGGCCTTGGGAGCAGGACGATCCTGAGTTTCTTCGCCAGTGCGAACCCAGTGATGTGCGTTTGGATTTCGAGAACATGACCATCGTCTCCTTCGCTTACGTCCATCCGCGAACAGGTATTCATATACGTAGCAGGCAGGGTCTATTCTAAAGCCATAGCTTCCATAGCCTTTTCGGTGACGGTGCACTTCATCCCGTTACCTATTCAGTTTATAAGGGCTACAATTTATGTGACCGTCGCATATTTTAGCTGTTTGTCCCTGTTGGATATAACATTTTGCCAGGAGGAATGCTAAATACAATTTTGAGGTCGGGCACATTTGAATTTTCCCGACCTTTATCTAGTCGTGTCGTGATTTTATTCGCGTGGTACATGATAGGATACCCTGTCGAGCCATACCGTTCACGCTGCATGGCACAGGGGCCGGGACTGTTGATGCTCGAATGCGGGCGAGCAAGGGGGCAGCGTGTGAGACAGATACGACAGGAGGGAGGAAGTGCGTTGCGGCCTGTGTTGATGTAGCACACCGTTTCGTGTGCATCTACGGACGGGGCTGTAACTGCATGCATCCGCAGACAGGCTGCATGGGTCATGCGAGGCACGCGTCTCTTCCCCCTCCTCCTGTCATTTCCCTCCCCAAATTGCATGTCCGTGTGCGGGGTGCATCGATTCTTGTCTCTCACTTCGTGACACAAGGTCAAGACAGGTGGATGGGAGGCGAAATGAAAAAAAAAAATCAGGAGAAAGAAAATCCTATCCGAAACACTCTTGTAGCGAAGGTGGCGAATTCTTTATTGCCGCGTTTTGTGCTAATTTTAATGCTAATTTTTCCGGGAGCGTCTTGCGTCTATGGCTCTTGCCATTGTTGGGGTGCCAGATGGCAGTCATTGCTTGTTCCAATCTTTTTTTTTTTTGCAAGATTTTCATGGGATTTTCTTGCAAGAAAAATCATGATTTTCATCTTGATTTGCTAACTTTTTCGCTAATAGAATTTTTTATGTTAACAGCGGCTGCTGCAGCTGCAGCAGGAGGCCGGAAGCAGCGTCGGGAGCGGACGACGTTCACCCGAGCCCAGCTGGACGTGCTGGAGGGCCTGTTCGCGAAGACGCGGTATCCCGACGTCTTCATGAGGGAGGAGGTCGCTCTCAAGATCAACCTGCCCGAGTCCCGAGTACAGGTTAGTACGAAAAAAATCCTCTTCGAAGAATTTTTCCCCCTCGAGGACGATAGAGTTCTGGGGAATTGACTCAGGAGCCCGTGATGGCAAACATATGGGGCCAATTTGCTACGATAAGGGAGATGTGGGAAAAGGCACGAGTTCTTGGGCAAACAATCATTGCGAGGCTTGGAGGAAAAAGGGAAGAGAAGGAGGCGATGAAGTGTTTGGATATCTGTTACGGCCATAATGGAGATAAGAGGGGGTAGCAACGAGTTTCACATCAAAATTCATTTAGTCTCCATGGCAACGCGGGTCATGCTCCCCCAAGATAAAGACTCCCCCCTTTTCCCCTTCACGCTTTCATGGCCTCATTCATTTTCATTGCTCTGTTTCAGGTGTGGTTCAAGAACCGACGGGCCAAGTGCCGCCAACAGGCGTTGCAACAGCAACAGCAGCAGCAACAACAGCAAGTACCGCCACGGGTGAAAACGGATTTAAGTGACGGAGGCATCAAGGAAGAGAGCCATCAGCCGGACTCGCCTGGATCATCGAGTAAAAGCCGGAGCCCACCGACCAAGAGTCTCACGCCCCCCACGCCGCCGTCCATCTTACCCACCACGACCGCCAACACGCCCACATGGTCGTCGGTGCCAGAAGACGGCTACAATTCGACGGTGTGGTCGCCGTCGTTCGGGTCGGACTATGGTCAGGCCGGGGGCTCCTCGGCTCCGACGACCTACAATGCTCCAGTGCCGCCCAACGGCTCTTCGCCCAAGACAGGCTACACACCGCATCAGACCTACTCCGCCAGCGCTTATTACGGCAACGTGAGCATGGAATACTTCCATAGCCCCCAGTTCAACATGGCAGCGCAGATGCCCGGATTCGGCCAGATGGGAATGTACGGTTACCATCATCACCATCATCAGCCCTACGCCCCGAGGAGTGTCGGGTACCCTCAGCTCACCGGGCAGGACTGTTCTGCGGCCGTCGATTATTCCGACAAGTACCAGGTCTTGTCTTGAAGTTTGGTGTGACGAGTAATAACAATTAGTTGTCTCGATTCACTTGTTTTGGCCATAATTGTGATAAGGTGTATAGTTCCTCCCTGTACATATATTATTTGTGAGTTCTCTCGGCTTCCAAGTCTGACAGGGTGACACTTTTGTTCTGCATCTGGAATAAATAATTACTAGCGATGCGATCGAAGCCTGCGGTTTCAATCCGGTGACCGACGGGGCACAAGCAGAATGGAGACCGGGAGGGTCGGGGCCCCTGTCGATGAAAATGTAACAGTTGAAAAGGAGGGAGGGGGGTGTCGCCGTGTTTGCACTGGGGCTCGGCGGGGCCCCGGCATAGAAAGTCCATGAAAATAGGGAGGGAGGGACCAGCAGCCTCCCCTTTCACAATAACCCACACTCCCATGCAAACACAATGGAAACTCTGGGGCCTCTGTCAGTAGCCCGACCACACCATTATTTAAAAAAGAATGAAAAAAAAAGAGCCTTCAATTTCACACTCGGACAATCTCCGCCTCCCTCATTCATGTCTCAATTTCCCCCTTATTTTGACAGACGTGAACCTCTTTCTTTTTTACGATATCAGAATTTGTACCTTGAACTCTACTTTATGGCTCGCAGGTGTGAACCATAAAACCAGTTTCCACCGCGGAATGTGTACCACCGTATTTTTTTATTCCCCCAGTTTAATTCATTCATGCGTTCATTCATCGGAGTTGATATGTATGCAGGGAGAGAGTGCATTCAAAACTTTTTTTTTAGTTTTTTTTTTGGAGCCTCTGGGCGAGCTGGAACATAAGACGGGAGGAATTCAGTCTGAGATGACTTGTGAGACAGGTGCTGTCACGTTGATGACTCACATACGTCACATTTCTGCGCCGTCACCTGCCGTCCATTATATGCAAGCAATGCAACAAATTTACGACATTTTATATGACGGGGGCCCGGGGTATATACGACGATAATAATTTCGGAATCGCGCACAAAGACGCACCGTGAATGGACACACGGGACCTGAAAAGAGACGCGAAGAAAAAAAAAAAGAGTCTTTTCACGTCGCATCCGTATAAAAAAGAAATGATTTCTCGGGTTCCCTATTAGAGATGTTTCGGATCAAAATAAGGGGGATCGGAAGTCGTTGTCAGGCGAAATTCTTTTTAAAGGACCCCCTGGGTGCGCGCCTGTCAAAATCTGGGCCTCGTTGTCAATCACGTCGGTGAAAGGGTCTGAATGGCGAATTTCACCCCTTTTCATCGAAAGGTATGCCCCTTTATAATAAAGGGCCACCTTCGAGGGGGGAAAAATGTTCCCCCTCCTCTGATTAATTAGGATCAAACCCACAGATGACAGATTATCCGGGATGGTAACCGACGGGCCATGAATCCATTCTAAGCGCATGATTATCAGGGGAAGGGGGTACACCGATGATGGGATTCTGGTTCGATGACTTTGTTTTGTGTGACCATCTGGGGCCGCTAAATATCATATCGATATCGCGATAGATATATATATGTATCCCTCATATCTTTTTCGAGGGTCCTTTGCCAAGGTTATTATGGGATTGGGTTCCTCTTTGTCTTCATCCGGCGGTTCTCGGGTAATTATTAGGGGATTATGATGAGCGGGACGAATTAATTTGGCCATGCACTTCATTGAAAGAGGCCTTTCAACAGTGAAAGAAAAAAAAAATATATATATATATATATATATAAACGGGGGTCATGAACCAATGCGGGGGACATTCCGTGTTCATGGGGGCGTGAAATTACCCTCTGACCTCGGTTGACAGGTTTCAAGATAGGGAGAAAATTGCCCTTGCCGCGATAAGATCCCCGGCCTTGAATTTCTTCGCTTTTCCTGGATTCCGACCAGAAAATGATTTTTTTTTTTTCGGGAGGGAGCCCCTATTCAAAAGCCGCAAATGATCGCGCGCGTTTTCTTTCTCCCGTCATGAATGTTCCCCCCGCTTTCTTTCTTCGCACTTGGGGCATTGAGGCGGTCCCACGCTTGTTTGTGCCCCTCTCACCTGAAATATAATATCTGTTTCCAGGGGAGAGATGTCTCATTTTCTGCCACTTCGCCGCGTTTTTTTCATTTCCTTCCTCGCCCTGACCGACAGAAAGGAAGTGACAGACATAACGGACGATAAATTGTCTACTAACTGCGTAAACACATCGACGTGTATATATATAAATATATATATTAATATAATTTAATTTATATATCTGATTCAAATAATCCTGAAAATACCACATGAAGAATAAATCTTGCAGCTACGAGAGCATTTACAGCACATTTTTGGCCCGAATCACAATATAATTTCCGAATAAAACGAATTAGCAAAGGTGCAACATGCCCAAACAAGAGTGTGAAAGAAATAATTAGCGCCAATTTGTCGTCCTATGAAGACCATCAGTCGAACGATCAAAACAAATGACAAACATAAGTGATAAACAAGACTAATGACATCAGCAGATGACGAACGACCATCAGCGAACATCGAACCCCCTAATAATCGCGAACTAAGGACCGTCAAAAAGGCCATGGCGCGTCGGCACTTATCTCCCGAAGGCAAAAAAAAATGGGGGGTATGTGTTGAAAGGCACGCGTCTCCATCAATAGATTGATGGGTCGAAACCCATTGATGGAGTGTCATCCAGCTGCCAGCCGATAAGGGAAGGAGTTGTCTATCTCGCATGCTAATTTGGAGTGGGGAGGAAAACGAGGAAGGAGGACAACAACACCCCTGTATACAGCCGGCTGGTGGTTGGCCCTATGATGGAGTCCGTCCCCCCCCCCCTCCCCCTCCCCCCCGAGTTTGTAAAGGCGAGATATCTGCCGGCTATGAAAGAATGCGATATTATCTCCGTCCCAGCCTACTAGCATTTCACAGTTCACTGAAACCTAAAACGCGCATGGTCAGGGATTTGCATTTCAAGAGCCACGGGGAGAGGGGACTGGCTCTCATTTTCCGCCTTGTCAATCCGCCTCCCTCCCCTCTTTTTTTTTTTAGGGTGTCGGGACGCACATGCGAGTCGAATACGCGCTATACGAGTCGAATACGCGCTTCCTGCTCCATGTTTGGTTTTCGGAGAGAGCCAAATCTGGGATGAGAAGGATTATCTCACAATGGAGTTCAGGTAGCCTCGAGCCACTTGACACCGGCTAAGCCCGTCTATGCGACTCTCCCGTCCTTTGCACACACTCGAAAAATGATGCAATAAAAGTCGCCGGACGGTGATCGGGGATAATCCCGTCAACACCGCACACAAGAGACACAAACAAGGACATTATCGCAATGGATCAATGGATTCTTAATGGGGACTCCTCCTTCCCCCCCCCCCCTCCCTCCTTCCCCCCTCCTTCCCCCCCACCCCCTCCGCGAGGCACGCGAGTCCCTAAATGCGACAAATGGATTTTTTGTCTCGCTCGACGCTGCGGGCCATCGACGTAATGCAAGTTCCATCGAAGGAAAAAAAAATTCTCCCGAACGGGGAGTTGATGCAAAGGTCTCAAGGTCTTTTTGCCTTGATGGATCCCGGAGCCCCGCGGCGATTCGAATGCCATTAATAAAAAAAAAGGGGGGCATCGTGAATGGATGGATTTCACCTGCCCGGGCGTCGCATTAATCAAAAGCGAGCTGGAAACATGCATCGCATAGCCTATGGATTAAATAAAGTGTAAAAATTAATGAAAGAGTAAATGCAATTAGGTTTTACAAATAGAAGGATGCAAACACAGCAGAGAGATACACTGGTTTAACATTAACATTTAAAACAAGCAGAAATGATGGTACAAGTTAATAATGAGGTAAAATCTGAGATATTGAAAAATAAATTCACACCTGACCCTGGGTGGTCCGCTTCAACCTCGTGTTTTCCGTTCTGCAAGGAACAAACGGAAAGAACCTGAAAAGTGCAGGGTGCCCCCGGCCCGGTAATCTCTTGCAACGGGCATTCCGAGGATCCCCCGAAATGGATTATTATTCCCGGTGCTCCTCCCTGTTGACAAAAACTTGGCACTATTGTTCGGGGATTACGCCCAAGTCCAAACAAGCAGGAAACCCGATCTCTCTCTTTCTCTCCTCCCACGTATCATACTCCCACGCGGCAGCAGGAGCAGCTGGATATGTTTCGCATATTTAGAATCAGATATAATGCAGGGATATACATATATCTGTCGCATAAAGAGGGAAAGCGGGGCGGACTGCACTGGACCTATAAAGAGGAGAGCGAGGCGGTAGCGCTGGACTCGACCGCGGAGCGTGCGACTCGACGCCCGCCTCCCGCGGAAGCAGGGTTGCCAAACGGCAGTGTCTGCGGCGAGAGATATAATTTATGAAGGAATCCTTTTCATGAGACGTTCAGTCGTAAATTGTCGTTGTTTGCTCTTCAGCCGAGCATGAAATGTGGCCAGCATTCATCTGTGAAAGCCATGCGGTATGGCTTTTTTTTTCTTGCACAGGAGTCTCCATATAATACAATGAATGGGACTGAGTAAATATCACCAGGAATATTATCGATCACGGGACACGCCAATCAAACTGATGGGCCTTTCCCATGCTCTCTTCTTCCCCCTGCATCAAATTGAATCGTCATGATCCCGTTAGCCCTATATAGACATCGGGTCGGGGGGGAAAAAGAGCCCCCAGAGAACGGCAATGTTTTCAGCTCGGCTTGCGTCTCCCACGGTTCCGAACTCCCCTTCCAATTCGATTCTGATACTTAATGCAACGAAATTAATCAACCTATTCCAAGGGCACGGATTCATTGAGCTTTGCTTTTCATTTGCTGGCCGACGAACTACGAATATTGCAAGTCTGTCGACGTCCGAAATATGAGAGAAATTTTCCTGAAATCGCGACGGCCCCGAGTCCCAGAAACTCATTCAAGTCGAGAACAAAAGTCCTGTACTGAGGAAGACAAAAAAAAAGGAAAGAGCAAAACGCTAGGAGTGGAATATTCGAACCAGTTTTTATAGTTTCACAAAAGCAAGTGATTTCTGAA